ATGTCATCAGGCCCGCAGGAGCGTTGGTTCTTTAGACGACTCATTGCGCTCGCTACCTCTGCTGTGGAAATCGGTTTATCGAGGGGTTTCGGTGCTCCTGTGAATGGCGTAACCGCTGGCTCTGCAGCAGTAGGAGAGAATTTCCCAGTGTAATGCTCAGCTATTCTATCCGCTTGCTCTCCTGGCCCAAGGACAGCCTTGCCGTTGTTGTCTACAATGGTTAAATCTCGTGGGCACTTTGGTTTCAGCAGTTTTATCGCTGCAAACATCATTGGCCCGTTCTTGAGCGACTCCACTTCTCTGATGCGGCTCTCAAGATGCTGTAACGCCAGCTGTCGAGACAGGATTCGGACTTCCTTCTGCACTCTGTTACGCTGCACTCGCAGCTCATTTCTTCTATTCATGTTTGGTGTGCTATTAAGATCCATACGCAGCTTCCTCTGCAATTCTGAGAGTTTGTCTACCTCATCCGTAGCGTAGGGTAGCTTGCTTCTGCTCGGTGTGTATCCGACTACTCCAGTTGCCACCTTGCGAATGGATGAGCATGTTGCCGTGAGTCTTGCGCTTGCTTCTGCCACATTGAGGAGTTGAGGTGCCGCTTCTTCCATTTTCGTTTGGTATAATTTCTGCATTTTCTTGTCATTGACCAGTCTCATGGTGTTGAACTTGCGTTTGTGGATTGTTTTGCCTCGGTTCCACACAGGGTGAAGAGCTTTAAATTTTACACGGGCCATAACTAGGCGATGGTCAGAAAAGGTTCTTGTGCCAGCGTATGACCTGGCGTCCTGCAGCACAGCTCTTTGTCTCGAGTTACATAGTATGAAGTCGATCTGATTGAAGATCCTTTTACCGGCTGGGCTCTTGCCTTCCCAGGTGGTTAGATGTCTGCTTGGGTGTTGGAAGCACGTATTGCTCATTAGAAGATTGTTCATTTGCGCAAATTCAATGAGAGCGTCTCCATTGGCATTCCGCTTGCCTTTACTGTATTTTCCCAGGCACTCTTCATAACATCGCTTACGGCCCACTTTGGAATTGAAGTCTCCCAGCACCAGTATAGCTGAGCTGCCCCGGACGTCGTGTAATACTTTCGTCAACTGGTCATAAAACTTATCGAGGACTTCTGGTTTTCGCTCCGATACAGCTGAGGTGGGACCGTACGCGTTCACCAAGCTCAGCAAAAACGTCCGTTTTCCACCGCTGCAAGGTAACTTGAATTGCAGTACGGCCAGCCGCTCGCAGTCCGCCGGTGTCCAGGAGCGGTACAGGAACGGGCTCAGGCGGGGGCTACCAAGAAGCCCAAGCCGTACGCAGGAGTTTCTGGCTTGAAGGTCAATAGTCGATATCCTTCAAGCGTTGCCGTTACGTTGTCTTGTATCTTGGTTTCTTGTAGAGCGACGACGTCCGCGGAGTAGGTCCTTGCATCCGCCACCAGGTCGCGTTTCTTCGCGTCCATAGCAAGTCCACGTACGTTGAAAGTCGCCACTCGCCATTCCGTTGTCAAACAATTACTATCACAATTATCATTGATGGTCGGAACCATGGAAGACGAAAATAAATAAACGTTGAATGAATGAAAGAATGAATGCGTCGATAATGCCGATAGACTAAGTTGGTGCTATTCCTAGCTTACCAGAGAGGCAAAGAAAGGAACACTCTAGGCAGTCAACCCAGAGTCCACGCTACCTGATGAGCCAGGAGCTCAAAAATGAGCAACCGGCCGCCAGGAGCACACCATCTGTATACATATACAGATTCCTTATTGGAGGGTATAATATCCCAATCCTTGAAAAAGGCCAATAAACTGGCAAAATGTGTACACTTGGTGCACTCGTGCATGCAGTGCAGGTCATTTTTGGTAAGATACTGATAGTTTCCTGTCGAAACCCGGTTGTAAGTCAACCCCACCCTTTCTACTTCTATTTTTAGTCATACAACAGGAAAAATACGGTACCTGGTAGGACGGCTCTGCATTCTGAGTACTGTAGTGAATTCTAAGTCCGTGTCACAGGGTTTAGTAAATCTTCACGAAAAGTCCGAGATTTGCAAAATTTCGGTCAGCGCCGTGCTTCACACCGGATAAATTTCCGAAGAAAAGAAAGAAAGGTAACTCAACCCATCTGTTTTTGCTTCTTGCATACTCTACTAAAGAAATTATCAAAAAGAAGCAAAGAAAATAGTTAAAAAGTGAAGAACAAGTTCTGGTCCATGGCTGGAATGAAACCCGCTATAAATGAGTCATGACTAGACCCCTGGTATAGAAAAGCCTACTGATGCAAACACAACCACTCCCTATGTACTGTTGTGCACATTGAAATCTGTTTTGAACTGAAGCAGCCATGGGGTGCTGGCCGTGCAGACGTGAGCACTGCTGGTCCAGTTTTTACAGTGTTAACATGAACTACAGTACGTGTATGGAAGGTGCCGGCCTTGCTCATTCCACCGCATTTCATTGTCCACAGTGATAACTTCGCCGGTAAGGGAGAAAATGGTGAGAACAGCAGTATGGGAGGCTATGTACAAAGTGCATGCAGGCTCAGGGGGAAAGGATGCGCAAGGAGGCAATGTAAGGGAGAGCTTAATCGAAAGGTGTATCCATGACATACGACAGAGCACACAAGACCGTCACAGCCGGGGCGGCTGGGGTGGCCTCACTTTTACGGCCAATATACATAATATTTGTTTGGAGCGTACTGCAACAAAGTGCGATGATCGCAACTGAGCGCAAACAAATAATAAAGAATAACAAAGAATCATTGTCCCCTTTGTTGCAGAATTAAAAAGTCTTTCATTGTAGTTACACTGAAATGTTTGCAATTGGCTTCAATGTTTGAAAATTTCCTGTGGGAGAACCCCCGGACCCCCTTGCATGTCCGCCGCCCCACCTCCCAAGTCGGTGCAATGGGCCTGGCACAACAGTAAGTGGGAGGGTAAGAAGTGCAGCTGCAACCATATCTGCACTAAAGCAGACAAGACAAAGGTGTGAATGCAACTGTAACATCAATAGCGATGGGTACTACACCCACAGCCCCTGTAAAATGTACTTTGAAGTAGCAAATTGCAATAGACCTATCTTGGAAATAGTGTCTGGTTTTGAAATGTGGCAGGTCAACAGAGAGTCAATTGTTCAACACACTCTGTATGTGTATATGTTGTACTGTTGCTTTGTGACTGCTGATAAGCACGTTTACATTCTTCATTTCAGTCTTACTGGTGTATATGCACTGGACAAATGTATGCACTGGCAGGAGAAGCTAGTATACTCATCCTAGGGAACACAGCGCCCATTCCTTGGATGAGTTATCTCGTCCACGGTCCTCAAAGGGTTAAGCTTAAAACCTTGACAAACCTCCGCGAGCGGCGACGTCGGTCATAACTGAAAGTGACGGCACGAAAACACTGTCCTGGCTCTCAGCTGTGTGAGCCCCTCCGTCAAGCGCTTCCCCTGGCCTCGAGGCGGCCCAAGGAGGGATACCTCAGGCCTTCACGAAATGTACAAGTGTCTGCAACTTCCAGAAAACGGAGACTAAAAAATCATAACCGCCCCCAACGAGCACATGCACACACGTACACACACAGGAAAGCACACACACACACACACACATACACGAACACACACACATACACGAACACACACACATGCACACACACACACACACATGCACACACACACACACACATACACATGCACACATATATGCACGTGCACACATGCGCGCGCGCACGCGTGCGCACACACACAAACACACACACACACACATCTGACATCGCATGCATTTGCTAAGCAAGAGTAAACGAGAGCATTTGAGTATGCGACGTGGAGAAAATAATCTGCGTTTTTACATACATGCCACATACATGTCACAGTGTACGCTTCTCGTTGGCTGAATTTGAAATAAACGAGAAGCATTGTTCTTTCGAATGACGAACATCTGCGATGCGTGTTTTCTGTGTTGTTTTTGTGTTTTTCTATTTTATTTTATTTTTGATGCTGATGTCATGGTAATAACACAGGTCGCGCAAGCGCGAAAAAGCGCTTGCACAGTTTGAATCAGTCTCTTTTTTGTCTTGCATTGCAAGGGCCCACCCACTCGCCCTTGTGTTTGCCTTACTAATAGAATTACGGTGTGCGGTGCCAGCTGTTGGCAGGCTTGTTTTGTTTTTTGTTTTTTTGTTTGTTTTTTCGTTTTTGCTGTTGTTGTTACTGGTTAGGGATCAGTACCTTCTTATTCCGTAGAATTTTATCGATATTACTAGGGCTGAGTCGGGTAGCATTTTCTTCGGGTATCGGGTCCGGGTAGTTTTCCACGGGTAGCACGGGTACCCGATCGGGTAATGTTTCCATGGTAAGACCACAATGCACACCGGCCCCTTCCCTTACACACTGGGTAGACATGCATGTGTATTTGTACACGTGCACTGTAGACCTCTCTCTCTCTACTCTTTCTACATGATGTCATCTGCGACTTCGGGTTTTTGGGTACGATTCAGTACCCGTCTACCCGAGGTCCTCACGGGTAGCACGGGTACCCGACTACCCGTGCACACCACTAGATATTACCCTTGAAGAATAATGCAATATTGCAATATAGCTGCCCTCAGCCAACCCTGCAATATGGCTGCCCGCAGCCAACCCTTTTTGTCTTGCAATATGGCTGCCCGCAGCCAACCCTGCACTTGTTATAGCTGATGTGAGGTATGAGAAAGAACTACCTTGATCCATTAGTAACTTCATTTGCACGTCCTTGTTCAGCGCTTGTGAATATTTGTCACGTACATGCACGTATCTCCTGGTAACTCCTTCCACTTCTATATTCATCCACAACCGAACTTTTCTGCATGAATAGCTCCCCTCACTGTTTCAGTCACGGGATTCCATTTATTTGTGGAAGAAAACGTTCTGGAACCTTTGCTACTTTGTTTTGTTACATGAGTGCACATATCTTGTTATTCATTGCTGTTGTATTCATTTCTGTTCATAAATGTTCTATGTGTTAATACAGTGAACACGTGGGTGGATTGTGGCAATGAAGGTGAAGTGTTTGTTACAAATACCATGAAAGGCTGGGTTGCAGGTGAAGAGTTCTGCCAGACACTCGGCAGCCACCTGTTCAGTTCTCCTCAACTTACAGCCTGCAAAGCTATGCTAGTGGGAATACTTGGAAAGGTGACAGTCCATATCAGCTACACAAGGTTGCTGGATAAACTTCACTTCCGCAATGTTGGGAACAACTTGAAAGTTTCTGACAACACCGTTACTATCCATCAAAGCTTGGATGATTGTTCCAGTCAATATCTTCCGGGAAATTCACAGCCATTTGACGAGGGGTGCCCAACACCGCGTGCTGTCGTTTGTGGAAGGAATACCAGTAAGATACTAATAATTGGTGTTGTGAGAAAGATACTAATACCGTATGTCTGCACCTTTTTAAAAATCCCATGGACTTATATTCGATTATAAAACCAGTCTCAGTTATAAAACCATGGACTTATATTCGATTATAAAACCAGTCTCAGTTATAAAACCATGGACTTATATTCGATTATAAAACCAGTCTCAGTTATAAAACCATGGACTTATATTCGATTATAAAACCAGTCTCAGTTATAAAACCATGTACTTATATTCGATTATAAAACCAGTCTCAGTTATAAAACCATGGACTTATATTCGATTATAAAACCAGTCTCAGTTATAAAGCCATGGACTTATATTCGATTATAAAACCAGTCTCAGTTATAAAACCATGGACTTATATTCGATTATAAAACCAGTCTCAGTTATAAAACCATGGACTTATATTCGATTATAAAACCAGTCTCAGTTATAAAACCATGGACTTATATTCGATTATAAAACCAGTCTCAGTTATAAAACCATGGACTTATATTCGATTATAAAACCAGTCTCAGTTATAAAACCATGGACTTATATTCGATTATAAAACCAGTCTCAGTTATAAAACCATGGACTTATATTCGATTATAAAACCAGTCTCAGTTATAAAACCATGGACTTATATTCGATTATAAAACCAGTCTCAGTTATAAAGCCATGGACTTATATTCGATTATAAAACCAGTCTCAGTTATAAAGCCATGGACTTATATTCGATTATAAAACCAGTCTCAGTTATAAAGCCATGGACTTATATTCGATTATAAAACCAGTCTCAGTTATAAAGCCATGGACTTATATTCGATTATAAAACCAGTCTCAGTTATAAAACCATGGACTTATATTCGATTATAAAACCAGTCTCAGTTATAAAACCATGGACTTATATTCGATTATAAAACCAGTCTCAGTTATAAAACCATGGACTTATATTCGATTATAAAACCAGTCTCAGTTATAAAACCATGGACTTATATTCGATTATAAAACCAGTCTCAGTTATAAAGCCATGGACTTATATTCGATTATAAAACCAGTCTCAGTTATAAAGCCATGGACTTATATTCGATTATAAAACCAGTCTCAGTTATAAAGCCATGGACTTATATTCGATTATAAAACCAGTCTCAGTTATAAAGCCATGGACTTATATTCGATTATAAAACCAGTCTCAGTTATAAAACCATGGACTTATATTCGATTATAAAACCAGTCTCAGTTATAAAGCCATGGACTTATATTCGATTATAAAACCAGTCTCAGTTATAAAGCCATGGACTTATATTCGATTATAAAACCAGTCTCAGTTATAAAGCCATGGACTTATATTCGATTATAAAACCAGTCTCAGTTATAAAGCCATGGACTTATATTCGATTATAAAACCAGTCTCAGTTATAAAGCCATGGACTTATATTCGATTATAAAACCAGTCTCAGTTATAAAACCATGGACTTATATTCGATTATAAAACCAGTCTCAGTTATAAAGCCATGGACTTATATTCGATTATAAAACCAGTCTCAGTTATAAAGCCATGGACTTATATTCGATTATAAAACCAGTCTCAGTTATAAAACCATGGACTTATATTCGATTATAAAACCAGTCTCAGTTATAAAACCATGGACTTATATTCGATTATAAAACCAGTCTCAGTTATAAAACCATGGACTTATATTCGATTATAAAACCAGTCTCAGTTATAAAACCATGGACTTATATTCGATTATAAAACCAGTCTCAGTTATAAAACCATGGACTTATATTCGATTATAAAACCAGTCTCAGTTATAAAACCATGGACTTATATTCGATTATAAAACCAGTCTCAGTTATAAAACCATGGACTTATATTCGATTATAAAACCAGTCTCAGTTATAAAACCATGGACTTATATTCGATTATAAAACCAGTCTCAGTTATAAAACCATGGACTTATATTCGATTATAAAACCAGTCTCAGTTATAAAGCCATGGACTTATATTCGATTATAAAACCATGGACTTATATTCGATTATAAAACCAGTCTCAGTTATAAAACCATGGACTTATATTCGATTATAAAACCAGTCTCAGTTATAAAACCATGGACTTATATTCGATTATAAAACCAGTCTCAGTTATAAAACCATGGACTTATATTCGATTATAAAACCAGTCTCAGTTATAAAACCATGGACTTATATTCGATTATAAAACCAGTCTCAGTTATAAAACCATGGACTTATATTCGATTATAAAACCAGTCTCAGTTATAAAACCATGGACTTATATTCGATTATAAAACCAGTCTCAGTTATAAAGCCATGGACTTATATTCGATTATAAAACCAGTCTCAGTTATAAAGCCATGGACTTATATTCGATTATAAAACCAGTCTCAGTTATAAAGCCATGGACTTATATTCGATTATAAAACCAGTCTCAGTTATAAAGCCATGGACTTATATTCGATTATAAAACCAGTCTCAGTTATAAAGCCATGGACTTATATTCGATTATAAAACCAGTCTCAGTTATAAAGCCATGGACTTATATTCGATTATAAAACCAGTCTCAGTTATAAAGCCATGGACTTATATTCGATTATAAAACCAGTCTCAGTTATAAAACCATGGACTTATATTCGATTATAAAACCAGTCTCAGTTATAAAACCATGGACTTATATTCGATTATAAAACCAGTCTCAGTTATAAAACCATGGACTTATATTCGATTATAAAACCAGTCTCAGTTATAAAACCATGGACTTATATTCGATTATAAAACCAGTCTCAGTTATAAAACCATGGACTTATATTCGATTATAAAACCAGTCTCAGTTATAAAACCATGGACTTATATTCGATTATAAAACCAGTCTCAGTTATAAAACCATGGACTTATATTCGATTATAAAACCAGTCTCAGTTATAAAACCATGGACTTATATTCGATTATAAAACCAGTCTCAGTTATAAAACCATGGACTTATATTCGATTATAAAACCAGTCTCAGTTATAAAGCCATGGACTTATATTCGATTATAAAACCATGGACTTATATTCGATTATAAAACCAGTCTCAGTTATAAAACCATGGACTTATATTCGATTATAAAACCAGTCTCAGTTATAAAACCATGGACTTATATTCGATTATAAAACCAGTCTCAGTTATAAAACCATGGACTTATATTCGATTATAAAACCAGTCTCAGTTATAAAACCATGGACTTATATTCGATTATAAAACCAGTCTCAGTTATAAAGCCATGGACTTATATTCGATTATAAAACCAGTCTCAGTTATAAAACCATGGACTTATATTCGATTATAAAACCAGTCTCAGTTATAAAACTATGGACTTATATTCGATTATAAAACCAGTCTCAGTTATAAAACCATGGACTTATATTCGATTATAAAACCAGTCTCAGTTATAAAACCATGGACTTATATTCGATTATAAAACCAGTCTCAGTTATAAAACCATGGACTTATATTCGATTATAAAACCAGTCTCAGTTATAAAACCATGGACTTATATTCGATTATAAAACCAGTCTCAGTTATAAAGCCATGGACTTATATTCGATTATAAAACCATGGACTTATATTCGATTATAAAACCAGTCTCAGTTATAAAACCATGGACTTATATTCGATTATAAAACCAGTCTCAGTTATAAAACCATGGACTTATATTCGATTATAAAACCAGTCTCAGTTATAAAACCATGGACTTATATTCGATTATAAAACCAGTCTCAGTTATAAAACCATGGACTTGTATTCGATTATAAAACCAGTCTCAGTTATAAAACCATGGACTTATATTCGATTATAAAACCAGTCTCAGTTATAAAACCATGGACTTATATTCGATTATAAAACCAGTCTCAGTTATAAAGCCATGGACTTATATTCGATTATAAAACCAGTCTCAGTTATAAAGCCATGGACTTATATTCGATTGTAAAACCAGTCTCAGTTATAAAGCCATGGACTTATATTCGATTATAAAACCAGTCTCAGTTATAAAGCCATGGACTTATATTCGATTATAAAACCAGTCTCAGTTATAAAGCCATGGACTTATATTCGATTATAAAACCAGTCTCAGTTATAAAGCCATGGACTTATATTCGATTATAAAACCAGTCTCAGTTATAAAGCCATGGACTTATATTCGATTATAAAACCAGTCTCAGTTATAAAGCCATGGACTTATATTCGATTATAAAACCAGTCTCAGTTATAAAGCCATGGACTTATATTCGATTATAAAACCAGTCTCAGTTATAAAGCCATGGACTTATATTCGATTATAAAACCAGTCTCAGTTATAAAGCCATGGACTTATATTCGATTATAAAACCAGTCTCAGTTATAAAGCCATGGACTTATATTCGATTATAAAACCAGTCTCAGTTATAAAGCCATAGACTTATATTCGATTATAAAACCAGTCTCAGTTATAAAGCCATGGACTTATATTCGATTATAAAACCAGTCTCAGTTATAAAGCCATGGACTTATATTCGATTATAAAGCCAGTCTCAGCTAAAAAGCCATGGACTTATATTCGATTATAAAGCCAGTCTCAGTTAAAAAGCCATGGGCTTATATTCGATTATAAAGCCAGTCTCAGGTATAAAGCCATGGGCTTCATAAATGAAATGACATTTGACGTATGTTTTGAAAAAATGTAGGAATAAGTACTATGCTAACAAACTTACAGCCCAGGAGGAAGGGTGAACAGGTGGATTTAGATTGAAGTTTCTGTGTGGACTTTGACTTTTATGGCATGGCGTAGTGGGTGAGTCATTTTCCATCTACATAGCTAGGAAAGCAGTGGTATTTCGAATATAAGGCCATGGCTTTAAAGGCGCTGCTGACATACGGTCATGATTATAATAATGATTTTTAAGTGATAACCCTTTCTCTACTGAACTCAATATATGTGGAGAATAGTGCTCTAGGCATGTCGATGGGATCTCCTACTGAAAAGAAATGTCATGTGTTTAGAGAAGAGTACAAAGTTACAAAGAAAGGAAACAAAGCAAAGGAGCACATCCAATGATTGCGAAAATCAGGGGCTGGTATGCCATCAGTGTAGTGAATGTATGGGCAAAAGTACTGGAAGAGGGGATGTTTGAATTCGGGGAGACAGATTATAGAAGTGAAAACTGGCGGTAAGCAGTTCCATAGCCGATGCTGGCTTTGTGGAAAACCAGAGGGGAAAACACATACATGACAGTAGTTAAGAACATTCAGTTTGTTCGGTTTTCTGGGACTCAAAAACACAGACATGGAGGAAGATTCAATGTAATGTAACTAAAGAGGAGATTTGTGAAAAAAAATGTAAGAACTCAAGGTCACAGAGGTCACTTGATTGTGATTTTGTTTCATATCTATCTAATCACGGTTACTTTCTTACTCGTCAAAAACATCCCTGCTACCTTTCAAGATAAAATTATCTCAACGCTCCAGTTCAGCTTTGGTAAGGATATACATGTAGGACCAGGCTGAGGTGGCATGTTCCAGCGGCGGGTGGACATGACCTTTCTACAGATTAGTAAGGCATACTAAGGGGCCAAATGCCAAGTTTTTTTGCCATAGGGCAAAGTTTGAAAGAATGCAACACAAGAAGAAACTAGAAAATATGCTCTCTGGCGATCGACCAGATTTTTATGGAGCGGCTCTTCAGGTGCCTTTGGATCTCCCATGGTCCCAGTACATGTGTAATGGGTGGGGAAATGAGAGCTTGGATCTCTGCTTTCCAATGCACTTTGAATCGTGTAAATCCGTCGAGTTTGAGAAAGGAGGTGAACGAAAGGGTGAGATGAAGTTGTGGGAATCTGAGGCATCGTAGGGAAGCTTGGAGAGGATATGGAAGTAGCCCTGACATGCTTATTGTGCTGAAAACGTTACGGAGAGCTTGATTTGATAAAATGATCTTTCCAATGAGCCATGGCTGTAGGGACGCCACCACCCTCTGTGGATCACGACGCAGATGCAGCTCCACCAAGGTAACGAGATAATTAACCCTTTACCGTTTGTACGTACAAATTTCGACCGCTCGCGGTCGATGACTTCTATGCGCACAGCGCTGGACTGGTTCACCGCAGAGAGCTGGGATTTTTCCTACTGGTAGCCAGATGTACGCGCAGAGGGTGCCGAGAATTTTTTTTGTGTTGCAATATAAAAAAACGTAAAAATCGCGACTTGAAAAATGCGCTTTGGGAAAAGTGCGTACCCTGCGACTTTTGGTATTGCCTGCAGATTATTTCGACTTTTGCGCTTTGGGAAAAGTGCGTACCCTACGACTTTTGGTATTGCCTGCAGATTATTTCGACTTTTGCTTGAGCTGGCCTCACGACTGTCTGCCCTGCTGTGCAAGCCATGGACGCGGAGCAAGCTCTTTCGCTTCTGGAGACCCTTCCTGACGACTCTGTTGCTGCCTCATCCAGCGAAGATGAGTTTGTGGAGCCAGACAATCCTGTTGAAAATATTTATTCTGACGATGACCGCGACGATGACATGGCGAGAGAAAGCAGCGCCAGTGAGAGTGACATGGATGTCACAGACAACGACAGTGTCGCTGAGATGAGTGCCACTAATGGTGGAAGGGGGACGTGGCAGAGAGAGAGGATTCGGCCGTGGAATAGGTCGTCGTCACGTTAGAGGTCGTGGTGCACAGGTACTATATACAGCCAGCGGTGCAACCTGCACTAGTCGATATTTGCAATACTTGGGACAATGCTGACACCGCTGTGACTGGTAACACTCCTGCATTCCACCCAGAGAACGAACCCGGTATCCACTTACCTGAGGGAGCCACTCCAGTGCAAGGATCTGATTTATTGCATATTGCAACAGTTTGACCGATCGGCAATAAACCCAAATAATTATTAGTGCTAAATAGTGAAATCTGTGTTCGTTTTCTGGACTTGAAAGTTGTTGCATCGCATTCCTGAGGGTTTTCACTTTCAGAATCACCCCATTTTGTACATAATAATAATAATAATAATAATATATAAGTGAAAAATAAAAATGTTACGGCATGAACAATGACGGTCGGTTTTTGCTGTACAAATACCTAAAACGGTAAAGGGTTAACAGTCAGATAGTGCGACAACAAGGCACAACACTGACAAGAACATTGAGACATTCGACGACCTGACACCTAGCTCTAACACATCTACGAAGCGCAAACCAACAACCTTCCAACTTGGAAGGCTCAGGTGCGGAAAGTTCCAATGAGGGGAAGGGATTCGCCACGAAGATGTGCACGAGCTGTGTCCCTTGGCTACAAAGAATGTAGAACGTTACGGGATGATGATGATGATGATGATGATGATGAGACTAGTAAGAACATTGGATACACCAGTCTCACTACAACTGGATGACGCAAGGCAACAGACCACTCAACTTGGACGCTCAAAGGTATGTAAAGCACATAATGAGGGAAGCCAAGCGAAACGTGGACTTTAGTAAGATATTGACTTTCGGTTCTCTCTCACACTTCACATTTGCAACAGCAAAACCACAGTGCAGGGTCGGCTGCAGACAGCTACATTGCAAGACAAATTGCAAGCGCTGTTTGACAGCGCTCGTTCAACAACGATTACGTCACTACAGTGACGTCAACCTGCACTGGGTGCCACAACAAAAATAATACAGTTAGCAAAAAACAAGCTTCGCAAATATTCGAACTTTGAGAGAACATTGCTTCTCGTTTCTTTCGAATCCTCAGCCAACGAGAAGCGTACACTTTGCGACAGTTCGTCTTTGCTTAACCACTTTATGTAGTTATGTACAACGGGTTTTATAAAGTGTCTCAGGTTTGAACAAGTGTTATACAAATCTCTTGGCAGAAACCATAACTCTGCATAAAGTATAGCACTGTCTGAGACGACATGATTGTATATCCGTTCTACTGTTGTTTGTGGCTGTAGATACACAAGCAGCTTCTATAGTGTGTGACTCACACATGTATACATACCATAGCATCTCATTCTCAGCAGATCATGCAAACCAGACGTGCTATCAACAATATGGTGGTCGTACATTGTCTACAGACGGGCAGGAACTCAGCTGTGCCTCAAAACTGCTGAACACATCGCAAGTCTTGCATGACAACAACGTCAGCTACATACCGGTATACACCAATGTCATGAGTGGGTCTGATTGCACTACCTACCAACCATCAACCAACACAGAAGGTCAACACTCCTGCACTGCGCCACGTCCCACAATCTGTGTGTCTCGTAAGTGCCCCGCTCTGCTAGCATCAAGTGGCGTACTCTATGTATGTGTGTAGTGTTGAAACGATCTCACCGGATACTCGTTAGCTCGCTCGCCAGAAACTCGGCTCGTTTGTGCGGCCAGCTCGTTTGCACTAACGAACACTGTACACCGTACTCCGTACACATGGCAGTACATGTCGACCGGAGAGTCGTAAAATATATTACGACTCCCTGGTCGATCGAGAGTCCAGTCCCGCGCAAAGTGAAAATCACTCGCAGTTACAGTGACTGTATGCCTGCACGACACTTGAGTTGTTTCAGTTGTCGTTGCAGCTTTGGTGGGCTCTACTGATGTCTTGTTCCGCATCTGCTGACCTGACGCAGGATATTCTTCGGTCACCTCTCCATTCGAGTGAAAGTTTCGCTCAGTCATTTGGAAGTTTTCTCCCGCAATGCAGCGAAGACCAGGGCTACTTGCAATCTTTGCAAAGCGGTCTATTCTTACAAAGGCTACTCGACGACGGCGCTGAAAAGACATCTCGACACCAAACAGCAGTCCGAAGTGAAGCAGCAGCAACCCCAAATGCCGGCGGTGATAATTTGAACCAGCTGAAAAAATCGGACTAAGAAATTTTTTTATTCAAAAAATCATATTTGCCACATCAATGAAACTCGTTAGCTCGCTCGATAGCTTGCTCGTTAGTGAAACTGATCGCTCGTTTGTTATAGATACGATCGTTTCAACACTATATGTGTGTGACAAATTCTGCTCAGGATTTCCACACACAGTGGACTGAGCAATCTCAGCAGTTGTTTTCTATCACATTGATCAGAGTAATAGTTTTTAGTCGTCCTTGAAGTGAATATGGTTCACTTTGTACTCGGACCCCTCCCCACCCTCCAAAATGAATGCAGCTTGCTATGCTGGACGACGAAAATAGCATGTTAATTTAAAATATGTATGAACATTGTCAGTCGACTTGAGATTTTAGCTGAAACCACTTGCCCTCAAATGAACTATGTTCGTTTCAGGGACGACAAAAAAACCATTTTACCGACCCCTAAAAGACAATACTATTGATTCTGTGTGTGTATTCAAACAGACATCATGGTCTGCTTTGCACAACATCACTGACTGTAGAATTCCGTTGATAGAAGTGTCGTCGGGAGGTTTTATGCCTCGACGATAGCCCTTCCGATTACTCTCTTAGTCTTACATCACACGTACACGATACTCAGAGGACTGATTATTGTCGTTACTCCAAAGAGAGTCTCAAGGAGAAGGCAACAAACAACAAGAATGCGTACAATAATGTGCAGGCGTGCTCAACCTGCGCAGTCCGCGCGCGGTCCGCACACCGACCACGCGGACCCAGCACACACGTGCCAAAAGGGGCACAAACCCTCCAAAAGGGCAGGGACAACATACATCCTCATGAAAAAAATGCATCCTCTCCTGAGCATGGGAGAGAAGAAAAACAAAACGAGAAGACAGACAGGAGAAGAAGACAGGAAGAAGAAAGAAATGAAATATGCACAACATAGATAGGCGAATATATAAACAAAAGAGGCACAGACGAGACCTTTGGGCAAGTGACGAGTAGGCCAGGAGGGTTGACACCAGCCGGGAGCCCCGCGAAACTGTGCAACAAGGAAGGAATATGCAAGCAACAGTTTCAAAGAGGACCCCGGCTGGCGAGCTGCTCCATCTGTTTATGTCCTATCCTTGTAGGGATCTTTTCCAGAACAGCACCAACCTAGGACACCACTCACCCAAAGGAAACGACGAACAAAAAATACAGAATGAGGAAAAATTATGCAAATTCGTTATCACAATGGACCTCAACGAGGGAGACCAGTTCCGACCCCACAGTGGGAGGGGAAGGCGCACTGTCCGGCACGCTACCAGCCGGCGACGGAGCACCGAGGGTGGCGCGACGCTGAGCCGCTCGGTGGGCCCGGCGCCTCCGGTGAGAGCGGCGAAACCGTCGGCGACGAGGCACAACTGGCGCTGCAGACATCACCGGCGACAGAGCGGTCAGAAGGGAAGTCGGACGCAGGTCTTCGGGAAGTGAATCGAAAAACGACTTCCACTCCTCGATTACTATTAGGTCCAACACCAACACTGAGCAAGAAAGAAAAAAGAGAAAAGAGGAGAGAAAAAACAACTGGAAGTATCCATGGTATACAATATTTACATTACCAACCCCGCCACGAGAGATCTAACTGACCCTCCTCAAGGGCAGCATAGCCACCCGGGGGCAGGGCATACCTCCGCCGAGGACGTGGTGTCCCGGGCGGAGTAGGATGGGTGGGAGAAACCGGAGGGCTCTGTGTCGGGGTCACCAATGGACTACCCGGTGAGGAAGAGGAACCCAGGTGAGGAGAATCAGTAGGACTCGGGGCCGGGGTGTCCGGGGGACTACCCACCAAGGGAGGGGAACCCTGAGCACCAGCAGGGGGCGCAACCATCGGAGATGGGGGAGGTAACCCGGGGGCTGAACCAACCCTGGGACCGACCTAGCAAATGGGGCCGGCAGAAACAGAGCAGGCCCACCCACGGAGGCAACCGCCGGTCTTTCAGGCGTGCTGGAACCCCTGGGGGAAAAACCACCTTACCCTGCACCTCCCGCAACCTATTCACATGCACAGTCAGGTGCTTAGCATGTCGGGGTGAAGGAGGAGGACCCACCCGGACAATAGCACACACAACTCCCTTCACCACTTCCACCTGCCAGGGGCCAGTCCAGGGGCGGAACAGCTTAGGGCTGGACCCAGGGGGCGGAACAGCATGGAGCCAAACACAGTCCCCAGGTTGTACCGTGGGTAGTTTAGTTCGGCGATCGTACGCTGCCTTAGCCACTCTGTGGGCTACACCGAGGCAGTCACGTACAACGCCAAAAGCCCGACCCAAAGACGACCGAAGATTGGACACGTACACAGGCAAAGGGGCTTCCACGGGGGTATTAGGTGTAGGTAAGAACAAGTGCAAGGGTAGACGGGCCTCCCTCCCAAACAGGACAAAATGGGGAGTAAACCCGGTAGAGCGGTGGACCCCTGTATTGTAGGCAAATTGCACCAGGGAAAGATGTTTGTCCCACGAGGCCTGATCACCCTCAACGTACGCCCGGAGAGCCACCTGAATAGTGCGATTGGCCCGCTCTACCAAGCCATTGGATTGAGGCCGGTATGGGGTCGTGCAGGATTTACACACCCCCAACAACTGACACAGGCATGACATAAGACGGCTCTCAAAATTTGGGCCCTGATCCGAGTGCAACTGGCTAGGGACACCAAACTTCATAAATACCCGTTCGACCAAAAGGTCCGCCACCGTCTCAGCTCTCATGTCCTGCAGGGGAAAATTTCAACCCATTTAGAAAAATAGTCCCCAACCACTAGGATATATTTATTACCACGAGCAGTGAGAGGTAGGGGTCCCATGATATCCATGGCGATGACCTCAAACGGGGCACCCACACGCACAGTGCCAAGCGGGGCTTTTGCAGCCCTAGGCGGATCTTTGCCACGCTCGCACACTGTACAACATTTACAAAACACCGAGACATCGACCGACATTCCCGGCCAGTATGCGACTTTACGAAGCCGAGCCAATGTGCGGTCTGAACCAAAATGGCCAGATGTTTGACCAGCAAGCGCCTAGGCCAAAAATTGGGGGCGCAAAACCACCGGAACCACTAACTGGCGGGCAAGCGATGGCAACGTGTCACGGTACAAAACACAGTCTACCATGGTCATGGTCTCGGACTGAGTCAGCAGAGCACGAATTACAGAACTATCGCCATCCTGAACGGGCTGAGCGGCAGCCAACCGAGGTTCTGTGGATGTCGCTCATAGATGCGTAATTTCGCATGACGGAGCTCTCCTTCTCACCACTGTTGTAACTTACACTTAGTTACTGCATGCTTGTGGCACACGACAGTCACAAGCAACACCAGGAGTAATTATGGTTGGTAGTTATCATTACGAAGGTAAGCAAGAGAATGGCCCGAGCATGCCCAGAGCAACCAGGTAAGGCCCAGCAGCCATGATGAGAGAATACCGTAGACATGCGCGAATGGAGATAATATCGTACGAAGAGGCAGTGAGAGAGCAGCATGCAGCGACGGCATGTAAATGCAGTCTATAACAATCCTTCCCCCTTAAGAAAAATAAAATAAATAATAATAATAATAATGTGAGCACTGCAGCGGCAAACAACTCACAAATCCAACTGGTCTGGATCACGTCTAGTTCTGACAGGTTTGTAGCGGGAGACAGGGTAGCGGGAGACGGTAGCGGGAGGCAGGGTAGCGGGAGACAGGGTAGCGGGAGACAGGGTAGCGGGAGACAGGGTAGCGGGAGACAGGGTAGCGGGAGACAGGGTAGCGGGAGACAGGGTAGCGGGAGACAGGGTAGCGGGAGACAGGGTAGCGGGAGACAGGGTAGCGGGAGACAGGGTAGCGGGAGACAGGGTAGCGGGAGACAGGGTAGCGGGAGACAGGGTAGCGGGAGACAGGGTAGCGGGAGACAGGGTAGCGGGAGACAGGGTAGCGGGAGACAGGGTAGCGGGAGACAGGGTAGCGGGAGACAGGGTAGCGGGAGACAGGGTAGCGGGAGACAGGGTAGCGGGAGACAGGGTAGCGGGAGACAGGGTAGCGGGAGACAGGGTAGCGGGAGACAGGGTAGCGGGAGACAGGGTAGCGGGAGACAGGGTAGCGGGAGGCAGGGTAGCGGGAGGCAGGGTAGCGGGAGGCAGGGTAGCGGGAGGCAGGGTAGCGGGAGGCAGGGTAGCGGGAGGCAGGGTAGCGGGAGGCAGGGTAGCGGGAGGCAGGGTAGCGGGAGGCAGGGTAGCGGGAGGCAGAAGTGAGAGCAGGCTCAACAGATAATGCAGGGACCGCGACATAGTCAGCTACAGTGTCTGAACTTGGAGGGAAAAGCACAGCAGCAGGCATTTTAGCCGTAGTTTCGGCAGATGCATGAGACACCTCTGGTGTAGCATGAGCAGGTACAACCGGGCT